AAATTACCCTATGGGTCACCAATTGGTTTATTTGCTAATTGACTGGCCCAGCTTTGGGCTTTAAATCTAAAGAAATCATTCCATCCTTTATTAAATACTGCACGAATCTCACTCTTTGTTCTGCAGGACTATACACAATATACTAGTGAGACTTGAATTTACACCACAATAGCCACGCTACGAAGGACCTTCCAAATGCCACTAATACCATACGTGTTCCGCTTCTCAGCTGGATCCGAACCTGCCAGCAAATTCCGAGCCCATCGACCTCCCTCTGACACAGGAGCAGACCCCCACACCCATGCCCGCCCCCCAGCCTCCCCATCTTTCCATGATTTAATTTCTGAAATCAGTTACTCTGTGGAGACCCCAATTCCTTTACACCCACTCTTTTTATATGGTGGACAATACTTTATTCGGAAATGTTCCCTCCTGTAATTACAAATCCTGTTAGTCCTCCTCCTCCTCTCCCCAGGGGGATTGTGGGCTTTAATTAATTAACGTGGCTAAACCGCTTTGAGGTGCCTGGTTGAAAGGTGCTATATAAGTGCAAATTATTATTATTATGGCTGTTGACATCCCATGGCGGCAAAGCCTTCAACCCCACGCATCTACAGACCTGAACAAAGGCTTCTTCATCTTCACCTTCCCTGCTAGGTCTGAGATGGCTGGCTCAGTGGTATGGGGGCAAATCTGTTACCATCTCAACATCAATCAACTAATTAATCCCCATTATGTTGGCTTCCGTTTCCTTCTTCCAAGCAGCACCATCCTGTTTCATTTCACAAATCGTGCCCCCAGCAGCTCTAGACAACGGTCATAGTGTCCCTATGGCCGCTGTTGGTCTAAAGGAGAGAAAAAAAAAAAAAAAAGAGGGAGAGAAAATAAGTTTGAAAAAAAAAAAGTGTGATCATGAAATGCACTAACTTCTCACTAACAGTCTAAATAAAACTCCTCCAGCTGTAGTCCCCTTGCACACATACATACCTTTCTATTACCTAGGGAGCCAGCAGCCTCACAAACCAGAGATACCCAGAAATACAGCATAGGTGTAGGGTATTGTAGGGTATCGGCTTGACCGCCGATAGCTAGAGACAAAAGCCCTTTCTGGGCTGGGTGGGAAGAGGTCACCCAGAGAAGTGGGAGCCCCTCTCTGGCTTCCTCCACTAGCTCCACGTTTCCCCTGAGAAAGCCAGCTGCCATCTGTAGCCAGGAAGCCCTCACAAAGACAGGGGACCATGATTTAGATGTTTTGTGCTGCACCTAGCAAACCTCAGCCCTTAACAAATGCCCAGTACTTCCACTGTGATGGTAGCCATTGAAAGCAGCCCTGTGGGGGAGACGTGGCCTCTCGAAGGGACGCTGCTGACCAAAATGCTCCTTACAAGGTTGTGCCTCAGACCCTTTGTTAGCGTGGACGTGGGTGAGCCTCAGGGGGTCATGTCTTCATCTGCCTCCATTTATCCTCTCTATTGAAGGGCTCCTTTAGGACATCGGTCAGTCTCTGTGGGAAGTGATTTGGAGGGCAACAAAAGAACTTGGGCCCTTTGGGGGGCCTTCAGAATTCAGTAAACATCTGGACACGGAAGGCCAGGTTCTCAAGCAGTCTAGCTGGGGAGATGTCAAAAGAGAGAAAAAGCTGTGTATGCAATGCAATCTCTTAGTTCTGTGGCAACATTTGTTGGAGAAAAACACAGCCGCCCCAGTAGGTAGATAGGAAGATTTTTCAAAAGCTCCTCTATTTGTCAGTTTGTGTGAGGGCAGAATACTGTTTGTCAGCTCTTGTGGCATGTGTGAGGAAGGAGAAGTTTCGCATGGCTGGGGAGCAGCATGTGATGGATGTTCCGATTCTCTATGTACGATGAATAACCCACGGTTGAACAAGCCTGTCCTGGGAGTTGTTGTTAAGCATTTCTGTTATCCCTGAGGTTTGGAAAACACTTTCTAGTCAAGGTGACTTGTTAGATTCTCATCATGAGCACATTTTAATTGACCAAAAAATGAAGTACTGAGGCTAAGGGATTTACATTTCATCACATGGTGAAATTCAGGATCTGAACTCTTGGCTCTCAACATCCCCTTTATTATTGAATCAATCCATTAGAACACATTAGTCAGCATGATTCAACATTAGTCACATGGCACTAATCAGTATTCCCCAGGGTTCCCAAATCTATCCTCAAACAGGGAAAGAAACTGGCCTCTATCAAGAGACAATCAGGGGCTGATGTCCAATTCAAGCCCTCCTCCCCCACGCACACTCTCAGGAACCTTCCTTAGTCATCCATTTGAAATGATTCTATTTCCTTTATCCGTATCACATTATTTGAACCTCAATAATAGGTGTCACAGTTTGCCTCCGATCAAACTTACTTTGTTTTTGAGCTAACTAGATTTTGAGCTACTAAGAGAGAGGGACCATTTTTTTTTTTCCAGGCTTATATCCCCTGAGCACCATGGTTTACAAACAGTACATACCTCAACAAATACCTGCTGAACTGAACTCACTGAAATGGAGCTTAAGTCATATTCCAGAAAGAACACCAAGTCCTTTTGGAAGAAGTTTTCAAAGAAAATCAACAACCTGAATTGATTTAACATCTTTTAGTATTATTACCTGGGCATTTTCACAAATGCAAATTGTTAGCTCTGCAAAGATAGCCAAATGGCTTCCAGGTTCTAAAAGAGTGTGGATCCAATCTAACTATAGTCCAGGCCTTGGAATAAAGTTTTTTTTCTATAACCTTATTCCAACTGACATTTTGTTCCATGTTTAAAAAAATGTGGAGACAGGAAAAAAACATTTTGGGGGAAAAATGTGTTTAGTCTATGACTTTGGACCAAAAGTCATACCCTGCTTTGTGCTATAAGCACAAGTAGCTCTTGTTCAAGTATCTTTCTTGCATAGTGTGTAATAGCAGAACACATACTAAAGTTTCAGCTTGACAGAGATTCTGTTATGGTGGGGGACCAAGATTTTTGGTCCTGATCCTTGATGGCATTACTGATTGTGATACCCTACTTCTCTGCTCTAGACTCTACCAAAAAGGGTACTGATAGCATTTTTAACATACAATATTTACAATACAATACTTATGTTGCATTTCAACATGCTATGAGCCCAACACTACGGTCTATACTACTACACCCTGGGGTCTAATCTCTGCAATTGTGCTCCTCTGAAAGGGACGTGTCACTGAATATTCATCTCTCCTTCTCTCCCATGGTAAAACTCCCAAAACTTAGCTGGGAACATGGACACCCAGATAAACAACTGCATTTTCCAGTCCTTCTTCCCATACATCTACAAATTGGCCAATATGATAAAAGTAGAAATAATGTGTGTAACTTCTGGTTAATATCTTAAAAGAAGGAGGATGCCCTTTCCTCCCACCATCATTCTCTACCCCATACAAATTCTGCTACAAATTCTGGATGGAGGTCATGATGCTGAGCCACTGTGGACCATGACAACAAGGGCAACAGCCTAGGTGTGATGGGGCAACAAGCTAAGAGCCTGGGTCCTTGGACAAATACATGGGATGAGCTGCTATACTAGCTCTGGACTGTATTCCTCTGCAGTGCTATGTGAGAAAGCAGGAAACCTCTACTTTGTGTGTCACTGTTAATTTAGATTGTGATTCCACCCAGCCAAACTTACAACCCAACTCAAGAACTTTCTTGAGGGATTGATTACATTAGTGTGACCGATCCAATCTCAGCTTAGGATTTCAAGATTCAAGATTCAGGACAGAACTGGTATATCCCAACAGAGGCTCATGAAGCCTGAGAGATAAGTTACCAGAGGGACTTCCATGATGGAAGAGGAGAGGATCCAAACCCATTTCTGATTTAATAAAATCTTAGGAGCCTTGGGTACCTGAAAAGGGCTACAGACATAATTTTGACGCAGTGAACACCACTTTGCCTTTCTGGAACTCAGTCTGCTGACCTGAAAATAAGGGTGATGGACAAAACTAAAACCTCTCATTCTTGGAAGTGTATATAGCTAACTTTGGGAGGAATTAAAGTAATTTTTGTCAACTTATCATCTGAGTATATGCATAAAGCACATGTGTTGTGCAGAAGATCCCTCTAGAGACTATGGAAAGATTATACCCCAATGGCAGAGGTAAAAGAGGCATCCATAAGGAATACAAAGAAGACTGCCCCTGGAAACATGACAACAAACTTATAAATTACACACAGCTGTGTAGAAATTGGTCCACTATCTCCAGAGGAGGTTCAAACTGGTAAACGTCCTTGGAAAGCAACTTGGGAATATATAGTAAAGATTAAGATGTGCATACCCTCTGACCAGTCACTCCACTTTCTCTATATACCTACAGAAACCCTCCTACCAGCATAGCAAGCAGCACGTGCGACAGAAATTCACTGAGTTAACAAATGACTGAAGTCTCCACCAACAGGGGAATGGATAACATGGTGTATTCATACAATGACTACGGATACCTCATTAAAGTGAAAGAATGTCGTCTGTGTGGATCGGTGTGGACAAATTGTAAAAACACAACATGAAGTGACAAAAGCGAGTTGTGGAATGATGTGTATAATAAACCATTTATGCAAACTTGGAAAGCACTCAAAACAAATCATAATATTATGTGTGGATTCACATACATGTAGAAAAGTTCTTCAGCATGAGGAGAAGGGTGTATATCAAACCCTGGAGAATTTTTACTTGTGTGGAGGAGTGCGAGGTAGGAAAGGGATGGACTGGGACAGGTACGAAGGAGTTTTTTATTTTGTCAAGTTTTATACCTATAATAAAAAAAGACCTGAAGCAAATGTGACAAAATTTTTTTTTAAAGATTTTATTTATTTATTTGAGAGAGAGAGAATGAGAGAGAGAGAGCACATGAGAGGGGGGAAGGTCAGAGGGAGAAGCAGACCCCCCGCTGAGCAGGGAGCCCGATGCGGGACTCGATCCCGGGACTCCAGGATCATGACCTGAGCCGAAGGCAGTCGCTTAACCAACTGAGCCACCCAGGCGCCCCAAATGTGACAAAATTTGAACATTTGCTAATTCTGGGTGTTCAAGTCATGGGTTTTATTATTTTCTGTCCCGTTCTGTATTTTAAAAAGTTTTCTTTTTAATTTTTTTTTGCACGCTAAAAACAAAATCTCTCTTTGAAGTTAATAGCCAGAGTAAAAGAAGTAAACAAAGCAGAGGGTTGGTGTGAGGAGATGTCATGGAGGCAGGGAATGTGAAGTAAATGTCAAAAAAGAGGAGAGAACTGGCAGAGGGGCATCCTTCCTCATTTTCCCCGGGGAAGCTCCTCCCTGACAGGCAAGCAGGAGCCACAGAGGTCAAGGCCTTGGCCTGCCCCAGCTTTCTGAGGCTGCAGGGGCACCTGGCAGCCAAGAGACAATGTGACAGACCTGCTCTGCCCTCTTGTCTGTGACCTCTGGGAGTGGAGTTCACTCTCTCTGCTCCACTGAATCCCAGGGCTCTCTGCCCAGGCTCCCACAAGAATGCCAGGCTCTGCCAGGTGTGTGGGTTGTATTTATGAAGGAGACCTCCATACCTGGATGGAAATGGATTGAGAATCTTCTGGGTCACTTTGAGTCTACCAGGCAGAAAACATTTATATGGGTTACTAATTCCAACTGAAATCTGATGAACGTAGATGGTGGTATTTGGGGGAAAAGAATTTTTCAATAAATCATCCAGTTGGCTCAGTGACTAAGAAAATGGGGTGGAAGAATCTAACCCAACTCTGTGACAAGGGAACAAATAGAGGAGATTAATGCCTCTCCCAATAAGCTTCAAAAGGAGATCAAACAACCATTCTTGATTTTACAAGAAAGATGAGGTGCATAGCTTTCCAGCTCTTAAGAAAAATCATTGTTTCCTTGTTTTCTGGTTTCTTCTGAGTCCCTGTATTAGGTGGCTGGAAAAACAGGAAACTAGCTTCAGTTGCAGAGTCTTCTCTGGACCCATCTCAGGGTGCCCTGGGCTCCCCCTGAGGTTCCCCAGCCCCATCCCAAGGTTTATGCTGCTCATTCAGACTTAAACTAACAGAGGACAGTATCAGAATCCAAATTCAACCTGTCCTACCTAATTTTAATTTTTTAAAAACAACATAAAAACCACAATTCTGTCCTACCAAGAAACTAAGCCATTATCTTATGTCCTTAACAACCTGGCTTTTGTTTTTTAAATGCTCCCTGGATTCCTGAGGAAATGGAGAGAGTATGGCAAAGGAAGAGTGAATAAGGAGGAGCCCCTGCTGACTTGGCCTCTTCACTCCCTGGCCAGCCCCCCTTCCTTACCAAGTCGACAGGCCTCCACGGCCATGAGGCCAGGATGGAGGCCAGGCCGGCTCTGGGAGAGCCTGGCCTTGGGGTTTTCCGGGGCCTCCTGCAGCATCAGCAACACAGCCTGGCTGTTTTCAATTACAGAACCTTAATCTTTATTTCTGGCCTGACCCAGAGGTCCAGAGGTCCCAGCTGTGTTCTGCAGGGCACAACATTTGGGGCTTGTTGGGGAAACAAAGAACACGACCAGAGCAGAACATGGGTCAAGTTGGAGTTCCCTGTAAATGCTCCCTTCCCTTCTGCGGCCATGCGGTTTTTGTGGGCCCATAATTAAGGCCGATTCCCAAAGCCAGCCCCTGCTTTTTCCTCTCCCCTAGGTTCCCGCGTCCCTTAGCCTCAATCTGAGCCAGCCAAAACTCTCAGCTTTTCTACCCAGTGGGCACAGGAGAAAAGGCTTCATGGGAGCCACCCCCATACCCTCCACCTTTCCCACCTCAGTTGCACAAAAGGGCTGTCTATCCCTCTGCTGTGACCTGGCCTGTCTCAGAGCCTGAACCATCAGGAAGCTGGTGGCTGTGAGCTTCCACTCCTTTGGGGCCAAGTATTTCCAGGGTGTTGAGCCCAACCATGAGGCCACGATCTCGACAAATGCAGGATAGACAAAGAAAACGCAAACAGCAGAGCATTACCATGGGGATGGCCTGAGCAGGCGGCTTCTTGAAAATGCCAGGAGGGTGGGTTTTCTTTTTAGTTTTTCTTTTCTTTTTCTCTTTCCCTTTCTTCCTTCCTTCCTTCCTTCCTTCCTTCCTTCCTTCCTTCCTTCCTTCCTTCCTT